TTGGACTCTCTGGGAGAAGGCGAGGGTGGGATGTTTCAAGAGAACAGCATTGAAACATGTATATTATCTAGGGTGAAACAGATCACCAGCCCAGGTTGGATGCATGAGACAAGTGCTCGGGCCTGGTGCACTGGGAAGACCCAGAGGGATCGGGTAGAGAGGGAGGTGGGAGGGGGGAACGGGATGGGGAATACATATAAATCCATGGCTGATTCATGTCAATGTATGACAAAACCCACTACAATATTGTAAGGTAATTAGCCTCCAACTAATAAAAATGGGGAAAAAAAAAAAGTGAGCAATTTCAAACACGGCTTTTGAAAGAACTATCTCACCCAAGGTTGTTTTTTTGCAAGCCACAGGAGACAGCACCACCTACTGGCCACGTAATTTGCCCAGGGGTTAAGAAGGGGGAAAGAGGGTGGCAGTTAATTCAGGGGTAAAACTGCCCCAAAGATTTAAGTTTCCAGCTGTTTTGGTGTTGATGCCACCTGGATGGCTGAGTCCCTTCTCCATAAAGAGGCTCAGAGCCCACTGAAGCTTTCTTGTTCATAAAAAACTCCTGATCTCTAGAATCTCTGGAGAAGGAATGAAAAATAATATGATCTGGATTTTGACTGTAAGTAGCCGAGCCACTGGTCTAGAGCAATGGTTCTCAAACTCCCCCATGCATTTGAATCACCTGCAAAGCCTCAACAAGCAGGATACGCAGGCCTGATCTAGACCAGTGAAGCACTCTTGGGTGGGACCCAGGTATCAGTGACTTTTAAATCTTCTCAAGTGACTCCAGTGTACAGTCAAGACCTGCTTGGGGCAGTGGCCCACCCCCAGCTAGTTTGCCTGATGCTCATCTCAGCCTTCAGGCTGAAGCAGAGATCAGCAGAATGACGTGTGTGTGCTCCTGTGCTGTCCCGGGGCTGTGATCAGAGGATGCCTTCCTCGGGGTCAGAGAGGCTCCCACATGAGCATCTACACCCCATTTTTAAAAAACAGCTCTATTGAGGTCTAATAAACTTCATATACACAGGTTATAATTCAAGTTTTGCTATACCCGTGAATAGTTATGTATGGATAGGACTGCTTTTTAATACACTGTCTAGGTTTGTTATAGCTTTGCTCCTTGGAAGAAAAGCTATGACAAACCTAGACAGTGTATCCGTACAGTCAAAGCTATGGTTTTTCCAGGAGCCATGCATGGATGTGAGAGTTGGACCATAAAGAAGGTTGAGCACCGAAGAATTGATGCTTTTAAACTGTGGTGTTGGAGAAGACTTTTGAGAGTGGAAGATCAAATGAGTCAATCCTAAAGGAAATCAACCCTGAATACTCATTGGAAGGACTGATACTAAAGCTGAAGCTCCAATGCTTTGGCCATGACTGAGCAACTGAACAACAACAAATACCCGTGAAACTTTCACCACCATCAAGATAATGAGCATACTCTTCGAGGCTGAACTGAGAGACTCCTGCTTTATACTGTTTCATAACTTTTAGTATTCTATGCAAGGCATTGTGCTGGGTGAGAAAGAAACACAGACTTACCTAGGGCAAGACCTCTATCCCGGGGAAGCGAGTTCCAGGTCTCAGCTGACACAAGGGAGGTGATACTTCTACTTAAGAGGGCTGCGTAGAGAAGAGGAGGATTAGAGAAAGTTGGTCAGAGGAGATGGTGGTTTAGCTGTTCTAGACAGATGGAGGTGTATGTTAGGCAGTTGAAGGAAAGGGGTGTGTCAAGCGTAGGACACAGCATGGGCCAAAAGTGGAGGCAGAAGGAGGTGGCATGTTTAGGGAGCAGTTGGTGTACCAGTGTTAGTGCACTGCTGGGGAGGGGACGAGGCATGGGGTGGGCAGGAGTGGCAAAGCTGGAGCTGTTGGTGCCACAGCAGGAGTGATGGAAGGAGCCACAAGGAGTCTGACTGGATTCTCTGAGCTTCATTCTCTCAGGGCAGAGCCCCCGAGAGCCCTAAGCAAGGAAGTGCCATGATCAGACTCACATCTTAGAGAGTTCATTCTGACAGCCCTCTAGTGTTGCAGGTCAGTTAGAAGACCTTTGCAGAAGTCCCAGTGAGCAGATGGAGAAGGCAACGGCAACCCTCTCCAATACTCTTGCCTGGAAACTCCCATGGACAGAGGAGCCTGGTAGGCTGCAGTCCATGGGGTTGCTAAGAGTTGGACACAACTGAGCGACTTCACTTTCACTTTTCACTTTCATGCACTGGAGAAGGAAATGGCAACCCACCTCAATATTCTTGCCTGGAGAATCCCAGGGATGGGGGAGCCTGGTGGGCTGCCGTCTGTGGGGTAACACAGAGTCGGACACGACTGAAGCAACTTAGCAGCAGCAGCAGCAACAGAGAGCAGAAGCAAATGAATTACAGCATATTATATAAGAATCAAAAGCAACTTTGGAGGCAAGAGCCATTTTCATAAACATTATACACATATATATTTAGAGCATTATTTTTATTCACACAATAACAATGAAAGACTCCCAAGAATGAGTGTACTCTGGTCCATGAAGCCCAGAGTTTTGAATGTCCCAGGACCTTTGAGAAGTGATGGAAACTGACATAGTGTATTGAAGAGGAGCATGAGACAGGTGGGACTCTTAAAGAAGAAGTTCAAATAGCCTACTTTTAGCACTAAATCCAGAATCATCTTCAAATGTAAAGGAGGTAACATGCGTGTCAGAACTAGAGTCTGTGATGACAAGTTACAGTTGTTCAGTTGCTAAGTCGTGTCTGATTCTCAGCAACTCAATGGACTGCAGCATAGTAGGCTTCCCTGTCCTTCACTATATCCCATAGTTTGCTCAAACTCATGTCCATTGAGTCGATGTTGACATCCAACCATCTCATCCTCTGTCGCCCCCTTCTCCTCTTGCCCTCAATCTTTCCCAGCATCAGGGTCATCTCCATTGAGTCAGTTCTTCACATCAGGTGGTCAAAGTATCAGAGCTTCACCTTCAGCACTTCTAATGAATATTCAGGGTTGATTTCCTTCAGAATTGACTGGTTTGATCTCCTTGCTGTCCAAGAGACTCTCAAGAGTCTTCTGCAGCACCACAGTTCAAAAGGATCAACTCTTTGGTGCTCAGCCTTCTTTATGGTCCAACTCTCATATCCGTACATGACTACTGGAAAAACCATAGTTTTGACTATACACACCTTTGTGAGCAAAGTGATGTCTCTGCTTTTTAATATCCTGTCTAGGTTTGTCATAGTTTTTCTTCCAGGTAGCAAGCATCTTAGTTTCATGGCTGCAGTCACCGTCCGCAGTAATTTTGGAGCNACATCTGGAAGTTCTCCGTTCATGTACTGTTGAAGCCTAGCTTAAAGGATTTTGAGCATTACCTTGCTAGTATGTGAAATGAGCACAATTGTATGGTAGTTTGACAAGTTACAGTGGTCAGTCAATTTTAAGTTATGTCTGCATTAATTCTATCAACTCATTGATTGATAACATATGTCTTTACTGTGGGCATTAATAGCTCATATGAGTGTGTTTGTTTTATTCTGTTCACCAGTTAGCCTTGAGAACACAAGAGTAAACCCTAGCTGTATCGATTCAGTGAGGCTGCTTTCACCTGCAAGAAGAGAAACAATTTTCAAACTGGCCTAAAAGTAAAATCTAAAGCCTTCAGCTATGGTCTGATCAGAGCACCAGCTCCATTTCCCCATGATTCTCTCAGTTTTGCCCTGTATGTGTCAGTTCAGCAAAACTGAAGCAGTTCAAGGCCTCATAGCTCAACCCCTCTCTCCAGAACTCTCTCCTCCCACAAGTCTCCTACCAACATTTAAGCTTTATTCTAATTGTATCCACTTAGGCCATGTGCTCACTAAGTCGATCACTGTGGCAAGGGGGCATGGGATTCCACTGAAAGGCTTGAGCCAACCAAGGCCTACATTTGAAGCTGAGGGTCGGGGGGGTTGGATCAGTCCCATTCAAAATGCTTGGTTGCTTCATAATGGAAGAGTGGTGGGATATGCAGGGGAAGAAGCCAGAAATGTCTACTCTATGATTAAAAAAAAAAAAATTACGTTGGGTAGGGACTTCTCTGCTGGTTCAGTGATTAAGAATCTGCCTTCCAATGCAGGGGATGAAGGTTCGATCCCTGGTTGGGGAACCGAAATCCCACACACCACAGTGAAGCTAAGCCAGCACACCATAACTACTGGGCCCACGTGCTCTAGAGCCCGTGTTCCACAAGAAAAGCCCACATACTGCAATAAAGACCCAGTGCAGCCAAATTTTTTATTTTTAAATTACCTTGGGTAATGCAACCGCACCTAATGACCAGATGTTAATCAATTTGGTTTACCACATGTCAGGTTTGCTATTAAAAGTGAAACTTAACTACCATTTGCATCATCCCAAGTCCCAAACACAAGGAAGGACACCAGCTTTTAAAGACACTTTATTTGTTATCTTTTATAGTTAACAGTCAAGAACAAATAATAATAATAATAAAAAATAACTTGCAAGGAGACAGAACATTAGACAGAAACAAGGATGCTGTTAACATTAAAGAAAGACTGTGCTCGAGGTGACTGTCCCCATTCTTGGCTGTGTGTATGTTGGTGGCCGCTGCTGAGCCTCTGAGGGAAGGCCGAAGCTTTGGTGAAGTACCTCTGGAATCTGTATCGCAAGGCTCGAGGGACATTTTCAGTCCAGGCCTTCTAGTTGACATTAAGAAGGTCCTGGATTGCCAGTAACTGCTCCTCAAAAACTAAGAGACATGTCTCTTTTTCTGTCCCCTGGGTGTGAGGCCAGGTCACAAACTCCCGGCAGGGGAATGAAATCCCTATATTTGAGGAACAGAAGTAGCATCTCTGTTTTAACTTGCCAGAGAATGAACTTGAGCACCTTGAAGGATGGTCTCTCTTCCCATTGCCTGGGACCTCCATAGCTGGTGTGTAAGAGTCTTCCAAAATTACGCCACTTATCTGCAGTGTATCAACTCCAAGCAACATTCTTCTAGACTCTTCCAGGAGTGAATAATCCTGGGGAGCTTCCTTCCAGATAGGAAATGGTTATTGTTGCCCCACCAGGAAGAAAAACTAACCATTGTCCTGACTGGAGCAAATCAACTATCTTGCAAATGCTCACAGTATCTATATGCATTTAATTTCATAGGTACTTAGTTAGCAAACAAGCTGTATTCATTGTAAATAGTCACAACTTCCATTCAGAGAGGCTAGATGTTGGATGGAAGAGAAGTACCAAAGGCCAGATCTTCAAGGCTGCTCCCTTCTCCATCAGTCTTTTGAACATTCCAAATAAAAGCTCATATGTTAGGTTGAGGGGCTGTGGATGGATCCAAATTCTTACAAAATTCTAGACAAAATGAGAAAGGGGAGGGAAACTCTTAGAAAGGAAGTATTCCAACAGAAACGTATAAGAAAATTTAGTTTCATAAGTGATTAACATTGTTTTAAATATTATTGAATAATATTATTCAAATAGCTCTTTATGCACTTTGGCTTATTTGATCTTTATCCTCTGAAGTAGGCTTCATTTAGTCCATTTCACAGATGAGTAAACTAACCCAGAGAAGTCAAATAACCTGTCAGAGATCACACAGCTCAGAACAGGAAGGGTCAGATTGTGAACCAGGTCTGTCGGATTCTAAATCCCATGCGTACTCAAGCACTAAAGGCCTTTCTTCAGAGGTAATACTTGAAGTAAGCATTCCACCAGTGTAGAGAAAGGGAAGCTTGAAGTGAGTTCAACGGAAGGCTCACCTCAGGTAGGACCAACAGGCGTCTGTGGGACATCCTTTCTCGACTACTGCTGACTGGACCCTGTGTCCAACCCCACATGGTGCGCTTTGTGCAAATCACCCCTTCATGCATACATGAAACACTTAGAGCCCATGACTAAAGGAAAATCAACCATGAGATTTTAAAATAAAAACAACTCAGATTTTCCCAGATTATTCAAAGTGCATTAAGACTCTCAAAGGATGACCTGCTCACTTGGGCCACCTGCAGAAGCTGAGCTCAAACCTGGGAAGTGGGGATGTTGTGACCCCTTCCCCAGCCCTTCGCCCAACCTCCTAGGTCCTCCTTCTCCTCAGCCTCTTTATTTTTCTTCTCTCCTGGGAGGCCTCACCCCTCCTTCTTCCTCTTTCTCCCCACTCTTCCTCTTTTAAACAAGTCATTTTTCTTCTTGCCTCTTCTGTTTCCCCTTCCTCTTCTCCAGCCCCTTCTCCTTTTCCTTCTGACTTGTCACCCTCCTTGCAGGAGTTTCCTCTGACAGGCTTTCTCCTTTCAGTATTTCATTTGGTCACACTGAGCAATGCCGGCTACTGTTCTCTAATACAGATCTCACGAGGACAAGCTATTTACCTTGAAAGTCCTCCCAAGGGAAAGAAAATATTACCAGCCTCACTTGTTACTTTAGAAATTGACCAGGTTGCCTTGTGGTCTGGGTGGGAAGGAGAGGAGAGATTTGCCTTTATGTGGGCTGTCTGGAAAGGACCCATGTAAACAGAACCATGCTTACATCCAACAGTCCTTCCCAGGCCAGACCTAGGTTGGGTCCTAGGGCCTTCAGCAGTCTAGGAATTATCATCACAACCACTGGAGTTATAGCCCAAGAAATATATAATTTAAAGAGACCTTAAGGGCATCTGAATTAAGCTTCCCTTTTTACACCTGAGGAAATAGATGATGAGAGAAATTAAGTGGTATGTCTAAAGTCATATAGATGGTCAGTGTTAGGGACCAATTGGTGGCTAATTATAATAGCTTCCTGATTAAAAATAAAAAAGGTCTACGGGGCAGCCAGGGTTGCTGCTGATATAGTAGCCAGGTACCAAGTCTGCCCTGGGGCATTTCACTCAACAAAGGCAAATAGAAAGCACACAATACTCACCTAATAGTCTGGTCCGGGTAGAATACCCGGCCTTGTGTAGGGGTTCTCTGGCTGGTTGTCTCTGGGCAGGTTCACCCTGATCTTAGGGAAGATGCTCCCCTCTGCGCCTAGATTGCTAAAGCCAGTCTCCTTGAGTCTCAGATTTTGCGAGTCCTTCTCAATCAAGGTCTCTTCTTCCCCATTCTTGCCTTTGTTCTTTAACCTATAATTGGTAACAGAAATTAAGATCTGACAGTGGCGGCAAGTTCCTTGAAGCAAATGTTAATATTCTTTTCTCAATATTTAAATTTTTTTAATAATTTCAAATTTACATGTAAGTTACAAAAAAAAAAAAAAAAAAAACACAAAGCTCCCATACATCTGTCACCCAGAGTCCCCAACTGTTAACATTCCTGAACCATTTAAGAATAAGCTACAGACCTGATGTCCATTACTGGTAATACTTCAGTACTTCATGCAGTGTAGACTCCCTGACTCTCCTCATAAGCTCCATGTAACCATCTATTAATAATTCTGCCTGTTATATTACATTTTGCTAGTAATGTTAGTATTCTTCAGTGCGCCTTTGAATTACTTATGGAAATGATAATAAAAGTTAAAGAAAAAGGATGATTTGTGATACAGTTTTTCATTCAAGCAAAGTCAATTCTATAGTAGCACCTCAATGAATAAGGTGAATTCAAGGCATAAAGGTCTTAAGGAGAAATAGAAGTTTCCCAGGATCTGCTGCGAGCCCTCAAGGACCTCAAATGTAAGCATTCAATGCCAAGTGAAAAGATTTGAGGTGAGGGAGGCACTTGCCTCCGCACCAGTTAACTCTGATCATGACCCTTCTCTCCTTCTGGCCCACAGTCACCCACAGTGCTGCTCTGTTAGAGTGGGCGGTAGGGCCAGAGGCATCCGTAAAGGCCGCAGGGCAGTCCCAGGCTGACTCTCAGACACTGGGGTGTTGTACAGAAAGACCCACTCACCTGCTGACCCTGATAGCCAGCCTAGCCCACCACAGAGTTCTTCCCTGTGACAACATTCCTGTCTAAGGTGGCTGAGAAGAGGCTCCCTTCCCTTAGGAATGGACAAGACATTCTAATTCTTGGAGGGCTTCGGGAGTAATGAATCCAAGGCTGAGCTAAGAGCAAAACCAGGCTCTGCAGCAGGAAGAGGGAACTGAGAACCAAGGGTGTTTTCCGGGACACAAGCTCTATTGCAGCTCCTGAGGGCCCTGGAGACCATGGCAGTGAGCCAGTCCACCATGGAGGAGGCAGCCTCACTCTGGAGATGAATGTCCTGGCCCCCCTCCCCCTGGGAAAGGGAAGGCCATGTTCCCAGTTCCCAGCTTGGCATCCTTGCAATCAAGCCTCTGGGGAAGAGTTAATAACAAAATGGAGAGAAATAGAAAAAAAAAAAGAAGAAACAAAATATTTTAGGAATGAAAACTATTTGTCCTCTCATATTACAGTGCAAGAAAACCTATTTGCCAAAATATAAGCTATGAGCCAAATGCTACTTTTAAAAAGTAGCTTTTCATTTTTTTTTTTTTAATCAGAGTGGCTCCTCACTTGGCATATCTAGAATGGAATAGAAGATAGCATTCCATCCCTGTTAATGGAGGGAACTTTATCTAAGTGTAGAATGAATGAATGAACCCTATTTAAGTTTTTTAAAAGGGTACTTAAGGCACCAAACTGAAAAAACACCGTGCAGAGATAATGTTTCTCCTTAAAACCCAGGAGGCTCAGCTGAGGTATCTTTGTCCTTGTGTTAAGTCACTCCATCATGTTCAACTCTATGACCCCATGGACTGTAGCCTGCCAGGCTCCTCTGTCCATAGGATTCTCCAGACAAGAATACTGGAGTGGGTTGCCACTCCCTTCTCCAGGGGATCTTCCTGCCCCAGGGATCAAACCCAGGTCTCCTGCATTGTAGGCATATTCTTCATCATCTGAGCCACCAGGGGTGTTAGGCTATTTGCAGTGAAATTCTGGGCAGGGGTGACTTGATGAAAATTACATTTGACAGTATCAATGGAGTTAAATATTGCCAACAAAATAGTTTTTTGTTTGATTTTTTTTTTTTCTGAGCAAATAAAGATTTCATCGTCATCGTGTCATGAAGTCCCTCATCATGTCCGACTCTTTGCGACTCCATGGACTCCTCAGGTGACGGTTTTTCAGGCAATAGTACTGGAGTGGGCTGCCATTTCCTTCTCCAGGGGATCTTCCCGACCCAGGGATCGAACCTGGGTCTCCTGCATTGCAAGCAGACGCTTTACCATCTGAGCCACAGGGAAGCCCTAAATAAAGGTTTATTGTAGGGCAAACAAGGAGAATGAGTGGCTCATGCTCAAAAATTCCCAAACTACCCAAAGCATTTTTAATGACATCAGAAAATGGTTGCTATGTCACTTTATAGGCTTCCCTGGTGGCTCAGATGGTGAAGAATCTGCCTACAATGCAGGAGACCTGAGTTCAGTCCCAGGCTTGGGAAGATCCCCTGGAGAAGGGAATAGCTACCCACTCCATTATTCTTTCCTGGAGAATCCTGTGGACAGAGGAGCCTGGCGGGCTACAGTCCATGGGGTCACAAGGAGTCAGACACTACTGAGCAACTAACACTGATGTCACATTATAGTATTAAGCAAAAACAAACCTCAACAAAAAATTTAAAAGCACAAAAGATACAAAATTCATTTTGAATAGTAGCCAAAAACCTAGAAGGATGTATTCCAAAATGTTGGTTGTTTCATGGTGGTGAGTTTTGTGGGTGATTTTTTTTTTATTCTGCTCTCTTACACATGTTCTATTTTCTTTAGTGAATCATGTGTAGCTTATAGAATCAGAAGAAAGTTCTGACGATAAAAGGCCAATGGTATCAGAGAGGTCTCGCCTTATTTTCCTTCTCTTGCCTGGGAAAGGCTGGGTGTGTTTGGAAACCAGAGTGTAGTGCTGGTGGCTGTGACCCAAGAAAAGGACACTTTGTCCCATACCTCATTGAGACGATGAGTGTAATCACCATGCCAAGAATGACGATGCCAGCAATGGTGCCCACGATTGTGAGGATCAGCTGAAATGCTGAAAGGGAAAAGAGAAGAGTAGGAACAGCTTCCCCCAAGCAGAGCCCCCCCCGTCTACTGCACAGGTGCCAAGAACACAATGGGGCTCTGGTCTGTGACCCCCCTTCGAGGGCCAGGATGAGTGGGTGGCTCACTTCCTTTAACCCTCTGTCCACCGTCACCCCCACCAGTGTCTTTAGAACTCAGTCAGAAGAGACAAACTTGCCAGACAAAAGAAGACCATAAAGACAAAGGAGGCCATGGTAGCAGGACCTTCCTGGGCTTCATAGGGAGTGGGATCTCACCTGAGGTCCACTCACCTGAGGTCCTTACCTCTGCTGCCTTGCCTGCCGCCATCACTGATTTTGTTGATAAACTTAGGGGAACTACGTTGGAGTTAAATTTGTCACTAATAGAGGAGCCAGGTAAAGGCTGGATGTAGTTGGTGAGGGAAGAGTCTGGAGGTTCATTACCACTCAGTCTCCTCTAGATCTGCTCTGTCTAGTGCTCCTGAGCACTTAAAACGTCATCCTGGTATAGCATGTCAGTGTAAAGTACACAGCAGATTTCAAACACATAGGATGAAAAAACTGCAAAATATCTCTAATAATTCTTATATTGATTGCCTGCTAGAATGATACTATTTTCCATATAGTGAGTGAAATAAAATTTTATTAGAAATCAATTTCACCTATTTCTCTTTACTTTTAAAAATTCACATAGAATTTTTAAAATCTGAAATTAAGTCTGAAGCTCAAGTTGTATTTTTATTGGTCAGTGCTGCTCTAGATACCTTTGATTCTTCCTTCTCCATGACTGCCCTTTATGTCACCTCTCACTAACCAGGATGCATGGGGCCATTGATCATCAAGTCTTGAAAAAAGCCTCAAAGGTCATCTGATTCAAATTTCTCATGTTATAGGTGGAGACACTGAAAGCTCAGAAGGAAGAAATGACTTATCAAACCCAGGCTCACAAAAAATACAGTAGAAAAGAAAAGCATTTCTAATCACTAACTTTGTGACTGGCTGGGAAACTAACAGAAATATTTCCTTCACCTTGGGTCATTGATCGTTTAGTTCATTATATAAAATTTTAAACATAATACAGTTAGTATTGTCCCAGTCTAGTGAGGGTAGGGGAGGAGAGGGAACAAAGCAACTGAATTTACAACAACATATTCCAAACTTGGAAAAAGGAAAAAAATTGTTAAAAAACACTAGTAAAACAAAAGGATGATTTGAGTATTTAAATGTCTGGTTTCTAGTTTTGCTCCACTATGAACATAAACATTTTTGGATTATACTGGTCTTTACCTTTTCTGGTAGCAGACAATGAATATTTAATCTAATGCAGGAAATGAATACAATGTTGGGACAAACTTATTTGGCCTGGGACAAGTCCAGGGGTTCCAGCCTGTCTCTTGGGCTGAGTTCTATTGTTTCCCATAACTGAGAGGCTCTACCTATGACCTAAGTGTGGGCATGGACTGGCCTGACCCAGAAGACAAACTCCAGGCAGATTTTTCTCTCTCTTTATGAAAAAAGTCAGAGACTTTGGGGGACTGGACAGAATTTTGAATGTGGTCAATGTCTGTTTCTCAGAAGCTTAATAACAAAGCAAGCCTTTTCTACTCACAGTCTTTACAATTGATTCCATTGTAGCCAAATGCACACCTAAAATACAAAAAGGAATAGGAAACTGTGGTAAAGAACCTTATGAAAGCAGGTCAGAGTTCCTACCCGACCTCCATGTCTTCCATGCATCCTTCTTTCATTGTCTCCTCCCTGTTCTGTCTCCTCTTTCTCTTTTCTTCTTTCTGCACCCTGATCTTCCAGGTAAGTACCTTTCATGGCTCTTGGGAAGGCTGAGGTGGCATACAATCCTGTGTGGTTCCATTTGCTACTATCTGAGTGCTCCATCTTCAGAGCACTGGGAGGATCCATCGGTTTGGGTGAAGCTGGTTCCCAGAGGCCTAGCACTTAGTGGGACCCCTCAAGCTGTGAGACCACATGGCTCACTCTGCTACTTATTTGCTGCCATGTGAGCGGGGACTTGCCATTCATATTCTCTGAGCTTTAGTTTTATCACTTGAAAATGGGGGAATGAATACATTCCTGAAGTTGTTATTTGAGAAGCAATACCTATTGTAGTTCCCAGCACACATAAGTTTTCAAAAATTGATGATGGTGGTGGTGATGCTCTGTACCTTGTGCCAGTGAACCAACTTCCCAACCTAAACTCATACATACATTGTAAGCTCTGTCCTTTTCGCCTAGACTTAGCGATGAAAAGATGAAAAAGGTGTGATTTCTCTTACTTTTGACAAATCCCTTTATTTTCCTCGTAGCCTGGCAGGCATATGCAGACAGCACTCGTGCTGTTCTTCACTAGGCATTGCTTCTTGCTCTGTTCATTGCAGGTTTCAGGACACGTTGGACCCAAAGCTTCAAAAGAGAGTGATTTCTGGGTAATTTTCAGAAACAGCCTCTTCAACCCCAAAGTGACACTTCGCAGAATATAATTTTTTACATTGCTTTTTCTGGGTGAAACTAGGTGCTCAGTGGCTGTGAAGTGGTATGTGGACCTCCTCACCAGCTCGTACCCAAGGCCCCCTCTAGGCCCATAGGACAAAAGCCAAAATTCACATCCCTCAGACTCTGAAATGCACATGGAAGCTTGAGCAGGAAAGTGTGTACTTTGTGAGAATGCAGAAGGAAAGGGGAAGGAGGTGAACCATTTGAAGCAGATGGAACACTTACCAACACACATAAGCATCTGTGGGTTTGGTCTCACCAGCCCCTCTTGGCACTCACATAGTGAACCACTGTCACAGTCATTTTGGTCATTTGGTTTTTTACAACCATAGTAATCACACCGATCTTGCTCTGAGAGGCACAAATAATTAAAAGACATACTTAGCAAGACAATATGGATAAGGTAACTTGTGAAAACACCCTGTTCCATTGTGGTCATCACTGCCTTTTAACACATTTTGGGATTCAACCAATGAAAATCCAAGATTCTGAAATTCAGCTCCCCAGTGGGTCTCTTCTGTAAATATTTCCTTATATTATTCAATTAAAATTAATTCAATCCTATGCAGTAGAACTGTGTTCAAATTCTCTTTTGCATCTAGCTCTTTGCTGGGTTCTACAAAGGACACAGTAGCTGCCTAAGTTTTGGACCCCATCTTCAGAGAGTTACATGTTTGTACCCAGAGAAAGTTGCAACCAGCAACTTGTAGCACAGACTTTAAGTACAATGGGAATTCAGGGACTCAGATAGCTAAAGATAACACGGAGAAGGTGGAAATTGGGCTAAGTCTTGAAAGAGAGGAAAGATTTTAATAGTCCAAGGCAAAGTCTAAGTGAAGTAAACAAGGGATGAAAAGAAAGAAAGGATTGTTGTCTGGGACTGATGGGACTGTACTTGGGCAGGAGAGAGGCAGTGAGGTGAGGTGGAAGAAAATAGAATTCTTGGCTCTGCAGTTGATTGTCTGGAGGCTTTTTGTTCAATCATTTGATTTTTGGTGGGTTCAAGGTCCCTTCTACCTGTGAAACAGGGCTAATGCAAGTGTCTACTATAGGAGACTCAACAAATAATCATTCCTTTGTTCATTTATTGGTATAGCAGAGTTAGAAGGCTAGGTTAAGGCCACTGACTTTTATTCTACAAGTCTGAGAATCCATTGTAGATTCTGAGCAGAAGCATGGCCAAGAGAAAACCATCTTTTAAGAATGTTAGTCTAGAAACAGATTGGAAGGCATTAGCGACAAAAAGATGAATCTGAGAATAGATTAGGGGGAGAGAATAGGAGCAGGTAGAAGATATGTGGTTACTCTCTTCCAAACATCCCAAGCCTGTAACTAAACTTCCTTTATTGCCTGCTGTTTGAAAATGCCTCTAAATAAAAACTCAGAGAAAGAGATTTTACAACTGTTGACACAGAAGACAGACTCTGTCTTTGCAGCTGAAATAAGAGAGCAGCAAAAGGTGTTTTTCTCTAAAAGTTTTGGGCTCTCCCTTCCACGTGCTGGGCGGTTTGTGCTCCTGTGGCCATCTTTAGCTGGCATTATTTGATAATTTGTTAATGTATCTGAGAGCACATGCCTGGTCTCAGAGTGGAGAGATGCCAAGAGGAGTTGTCAAAAAGAGCAGTTCTTAGAGCTGAGGCCGATGGTTTCAAGTCTGCCAGGCTCAGAGCTAAGGCAGTTCAAGTAGAGCCAAATGAGAGAACTGCAAAGGGAACCCTAATTTTATCTTGAAGAACACACTGGATATTTTCATTTGATGACCATTATGAGTGGTCAATCCCCAAGCTGATCAGGACTCTCAACTTCCTCACACTTGCTAGAAATCTCATCTAGCCAAAAGCAAGGTGTACAGTAAGATTTTGTCTTGCCCTGCTGACAATTTCATCTTCCAGGCAGGTATAGCTATTCTGACTACATGAATTGCTACTCTGGACCAAATTCTGACCCCCAAGGAGAAATTTATTGGCAGGCAGAAGTGACTGGTTCCTTGGAAGACAAGGACCAAGTGATAGCCAGAAACAGGAGTATGTCTTTGAGAGAGTAAATATTGAAATGTTCAGAAATGCTAAGGTATAGTTCCATGGTATGAGACTCTGGAAGATGAAAACAGTTCAGGAAAGTAAGAAGCTTTGAAAATGTAATCCTATGCATGAGACAAGTGCTCGGGCCTGGCGCACTGGGAAGACCCAGAGGAATCGGGTGGAGAGGGAGGTGGGAGGGGGGATCGGGATGGGGAATACATGTAACTCCATGGCTGATTCATGTCAATGTATGACAAAACCCACTGAAATGTTGTGAAGTAATTAGCCTCCAACTAATAAAAATAAATGAAAAAAAAAAAAAAAGAAAATGTAATCCTAACTGTGCAGCTGCAAATGACCCCCAATGAGCTATTAAAAAAAAAAAAGTGGGAGAAGCCCAGGTAATTTAAGAAACTGGCATGGTTTGCACAGGAAGTTCTCAGAGGAGAGACATAAACAAAATATAAAAAGAAAGTCCTGAAACCAAAGGTGGAATATTAAAAGTATGACAGTCCAGAGTCCCAAATGAGTTCAGGCTTGTTACAAGCAAAACCCAAAACAACAACAACAACAATCCAATTACAAAGAGCAAAGGGTTAAAAATAAAAAATGAGCAAATAAAAAGTGTGTGTGTTTTCCATGTCACAGGGGCTCATAGAAAGGCCAGGCCTGGTTGGTGAGTTTATAAAACAGCAAAAGTGAACTGTTATAGCTCTCCTGTGGGCATGTGCATCTGCCTAAAGGGGAAATTGTGTAGGTAAACTTTCTATAAGCATTTGGAAAGCTGTAACTTGGTACAGAGCTCTCTTGTTTCCTCCTTTCTTCATCTTTCCCAGTCCAGAGGCTATTTATCCAAGGCTACCTTCGAAGAAGAGGAAGAAACTAGTCAGTTTGATGACTTAGGGGATGGTTATAAATGAGCAGAAGTCAAGTAACTGGGGAAAGGGAGGGAGGAAGAAAGGACAGGTTCAGAGAAAACTCAGAGATGTCTGTGGATAATTATCTGGCCCCCTTCACAAGTAAAGTAAAAAATTTACTTATAAAAATTTACTTCTATTTATTTATAATAGAAAATGTAGATAAGTCTTTAGGTAAATGTTGAATAAAATTATTTAATACTTACGGTCATATCCTGAAAAGTTACTTGGTTGTGCTTTAATCGCATTTCTAATGGCATTTGATATGGTTGTCTCATTTTCCTTTGTAGTTTCTGTAAAAATGTTTACTACTGCTACGTCAACACCCTGGTTACCAGCACGCATTTCAGATCTTGCTGAAGCGGATGTGCTAAAAATGAAATGAATCCATCACTTGATGAATTGAACTAAAGCATCATCAAATTGGTCTTCAGACCTCCCTGACTCTCAAATCTCCCAGAATTAGTCCCAACCCATCGTTTTATATCCACAGATGAGGCTCAAAGAGGGAGGCCTGGGGTTGATAAGATGGCCATTTATAGACTTAGAGATCTCTATTCAATATGCATTCAGAGGAAATCTAGGACTACAGTAAGGTCCTATTGGAAGACACTTAGAAAAATTGTGGACAATCATTTCTAGGTGCCTGGATTGAACCAGAAGTAGAATCAGTGACATGTGAAATAGTAAGCTGCCATTTTCTGTAGAAAATCAAGAGCAGATCTCCTGATGAGCTGTAAAATCTCAGATTTGTGCCTTGAGAGAGACTAAGGGGTATGTGCTCCTTTCTGCACACAGAGAGGGCAGTAATCAACCATATTGAGTCTGGATCATTCCCAGAAAGGGCCCAGAAAACCAGCAGGCAGCTTCAAAGTGTGTGTGTGACTAGGCTTGGGCACACCTGACCCAGAGGAGAACTGATCCCAAGAAAGGAGGGGCCGTGGGAAGCATCAGATGTGCATGTGTGCTAAGTTGCTTCAGTTGTGTCCAACTCTTTGTGACCCTATGTACCATAGCCCACCAGGCTCCTCTGTCCATGGGATTCTCCAGGCAAGAATTTTGGAGTGGGTTGCCATTCCCTTCTCCAGGGGAATCTTTCCAACCAAGTGATGGAAACAGCATCTCTTTAGGTCTCCTGCATTGGCAGGCAGGTTCTTTACCACTAACGCCACCTGCGAAGCCCGGGAAGCATCAGAATGTAATACTAAATCACATCACCTTGCTGCAAGACATCATAAGTGTCTTTCCCTCTCTCTAACTATCACTACAGTTTCGGGTCCTGAGATCGGCTGTGCCAAGTTCTAATTCTTTCATTTATCAAAAACAAAAACAAAAACAAAAACCAAGTGATACAACCACTGAGAGAGAAAAAAAAAACAAGGACTTTAAAAGATTTCTTCCCACTCTGACTTGTGGCCATGTGTTTTTAAGACTCAGGATATATTTTTGCAGTCCTATGTTTTCCTATACTCCATTCAGACTTTTGAATAAATACAGAAGTTTGAAAACACAGCCAACCCTACTTAGATAATATTTGCAGCCATATGGATTCTGTGGAACAATCCAGAAAATCCAAAACATGAATCAAATTCTGTTTTTAGGAATGATTACCTCAAAAAAAGGAGTCCAAAAAGCAAAGTGGGCTTTACAATCTTAAAGTTTCATGACTTGTTCATGGTAGGACTCAGAGGTAACAGAGGAAGGTACCAGGCAGTGAGAAAGGAGTACCTGGTACAAACTCTTCTTTATTAGTTGAAAGATGACCAGAGATCTATGGTATAATTTTGCAGTGGGGCTAGGGAAGAAATGCCATCCATAATTCACTCATCATCTGAAGAACCTACTAGCATACAGTTCAGGAGGCAAGACATTACTCATGGAACAGTTCAAGGATAGGATGGAGAGGCCATGTACTCAAGTGACCAAAAGTTGTCATATACAGAAGCAGGGGAGAAGGCAATGGCAACCCACTCTGGTACTCTTGCCTGGAAAATCCCATGAACAGAGGAGCCTGGTAGGCTGCAGTCCATGGGGTCGCTAAGAGTCAGATTCGACTGAATGACTTCACTTTCACTTCTCACTTTCATGCATTGGAGAAGGAAATGGCAACCCACTCCAATGTTCTTGCCTGGAGAAGCCCAAGGATGGGGGAGCCTGGAGGGCTGCCGTCTATGGGGTTGCACAGAGTCGGATACGACTGAAGCGACTTAGCAGCAGCATACAGAACCAGAGCACTAGCCTCCAAGTTTAAGAACCCAGAGATCTAGACCCAGGGGAGCCGCCATCTTCTGTGGCCCAAGACCAGTCCTAACTTCCCTCAGCCCGAGTGTCCTCTGTCCAAAGAGAGATTGGAGTGTAGGAGGAATTCTGGGGATCCTTCCAATTCCAACATTCAGGCAGTAAATAAAGAGCTTGGGGATTCTGAGGAGAGAGCACTGATCTGGAGCCTAAGAAATGCCCTCTGAAGTGAGACTGAGGTCCATCTGCCCACCACTGCCCTCAAGCTGGGGGAGTTGCTCCTCTCAGGACACTGAGTTCACAGGTAAGGTGTTGTCACCAAACTCCCCTGGCTCCCTTTCAGTAACTCCCTAAAAATGGAAGGAGTGCCACAGTTTCAGGGAACCACTCCCCACCAAATGACTCCATGGGACCAGCTCTACCATCACACTTGCAGGGTCCCCTATTCTGGAAGGCAAACAGATGGGAACTAATACATGTTGAAACTGACTTCATGCCAGGTACTTTGCACAGGGAAGCTTTCCAACAGTATCTCATTTGCTCCCCACAGGGTTCTGGGAAAGTTGATCAGAGTAAACCAGATATACAGATTAGGTAATAAAAGTTCAGAGAGGTTAAAACACCCACCCAGTCACACAGCAATAAGGTGCCAAGGCTGGGATTCAAGGAGAGGTTTACCTACTACTTACTGCTGTCATACCTCGCTGTTCCTGCTTTTATCCAGTCATCCTGATGCATGAACTCCCTGTTGTCCCCTAAACCAAGCCTAACACCCTTCAATGATGTATAGCCTTCAATAGTTGTCTGCTGTGTCTCCAGCCTCCAGCCACTGTGTTGGGGCCCAGCCTCTCTGCCTGCTGCCTGTACTGTGCCTCCCGTTAAACTGCCTCCTGGCTACACGTGCCCCTTGCTCATCGCCCAGATCAAAATTCACTACTTTTAGGGGGTCTTGTCTTAATTCATCTTTTTCCACAAAGGATTTGACAAAGTTTATGAATATAGATGTGATAATAAAACCACAGAAATATAAATACATTAGAGCTGCTTTTTCTGCACGATTCTGTTTACCTTAGAGTTCTTTCCTCAGCCTGCAGCACTTGTGTATCAATACGCTTCAGAGAAGGCCAAGATGGAATCACTAACTTCTTGAGAATCCTCTACCTCTTTGAGTTTCCAAATAGCACACAGCCCTGGTCACTACATGCTGATACACTCACTGCATGCTGATACACTCACTGCATGCCTGTTCTTACTATAGAAAGAGCTCACAACAGACCCTTCAGTGACCAGTCATGCAAAGAGAGATTGGAGTGTAGGAGGAATTCTGGGGATCCTTCCAATTCCAACATTCAGGCAGTAAATAAAGAGCTTGGGGATTCTGAGGAGAGAGCACTGATCTGGAGCCTAAGAAATGCCCTCTGAAGTGAGACTGAGGTCCATCTGCCCACCACTGCCCTCAAGCTGGGGGAGTTGCTCCTCTCAGGACACTGAGTTCACAGGTAAGGTGTTGTCACCAAACTCCCCTGGCTCCCTTTCAGTAACTCCCTAAAAATGGAAGGAGTGCCACAGTTTCAGGGAACCACTCCCCACCAAATGACTCCATGGGACCAGCTCTACCATCACACTTGCAGGGTCCCCTATTCTGGAAGGCAAACAGATGGGAACTAATACATGTTGAAACTGACTTCATGCCAGGTACTTTGCACAGGGAAGCTTTCCAACAGTATCTCATTTGCTCCCCACAGGGTTCTGGGAAAGTTGATCAGAGTAAACCAGATATACAGATTAGGTAATAAAAGTTCAGAGAGGTTAAAACACCCACCCAGTCACACAGCAATAAGGTGCCAAGGCTGGGATTCAAGGAGAGGTTTACCTACTACTTACTGCTGTCATACCTCGCTGTTCCTGCTTTTATCCAGTCATCCTGATGCATGAACTCCCTGTTGTCCCCTAAACCAAGCCTAACACCCTTCAATGATGTATAGCCTTCAATAGTTGTCTGCTGTGTCTCCAGCCTCCAGCCACTGTGTTGGGGCCCAGCCTCTCTGCCTGCTGCCTGTACTGTGCCTCCCGTTAAACTGCCTCCTGGCTACACGTGCCCCTTGCTCATCGCCCAGATCAAAATTCACTACTTTTAGGGGGTCTTGTCTTAATTCATCTTTTTCCACAAAGGATTTGACAAAGTTTATGAATATAGATGTGATAATAAAACCACAGAAATATAAATACATTAGAGCTGCTTTTTCTGCACGATTCTGTTTACCTTAGAGTTCTTTCCTCAGCCTGCAGCACTTGTGTATCAATACGCTTCAGAGAAGGCCAAGATGGAATCACTAACTTCTTGAGAATCCTCTACCTCTTTGAGTTTCCAAATAGCACACAGCCCTGGTCACTACATGCTGATACACTCACTGCATGCTGATACACTCACTGCATGCCTGTTCTTACTATAGAAAGAGCTCACAACAGACCCTTCAGTGACCAGTCATGCAACTGGGGTCATCCTGTCTGCCTCATTTCCCCCTATGAAGGAAGAGATGGCCATGAACCATTCATTCTCCTCTGGGCCCCCTGGGATGCACATTCCAGGGAATGGCCAGGTGTGGTTTGTAGCCAAGGGATCAAACCGAACAGATTCATGTGATATCCTGGACCACGTGAGCAAGTTGCTAAGTAGCCAATCACAGGGACAGTCTTACTATCCCCAGGCTACACTCTGCCCACCCAGGCCAGGGTCAATGTGCATCTGAGTCAGGGCCCTTTGTGGTACTCAGACTGACCACCTCTTCTAGACTTGTGACTGGCCACCCTAGGACTTCAGTTCCATACGGGGAATGCAAGAGGAGACTAAAAGTTAAGGAAAACAGCCTGCTTCCAAAGTACTCTGTGGGTCCACAGCAGACTTACCTTACTTTAACAATTACAGTCTGTCCGTAATCAGAAATTTTAAATGTATCTTTAAACTGTGGAAAAGAAGAACAGATTTAATAACAACTACAGCAAGGGGGAAAAGTAATAGTATATCTAGATTTTTAATATAAACCCATTTCTAAACTCATTTATGTAACACAGCAAATTTATTCTTTACATGTGCTGTGACACCTTTCAGCAATTTTTGCTCTAAAATAGGATGATTCTGGTATAAGTCAGAGCTACCCAGGAAAAAGATGGAAACCCGAAGCACTCAGTCAAATCAATACTCTTAAATATAGGGTGACTGACTTGTTTTCTCTTTTCAAATCATGTGAAGTTTTGCATCTTTGTTAGACTTACCTATATGCATACTTCATACACTCATCAATTTACCCAAGGAAGACTAAAATGCTTACCTTCCCAAGGCATTATGCCAGAGACATAGATTACCAAGATGGGCAGACCTAGCCTATGATCAAGTTACACCATGTGACCTCAGATTACACCATGAAGCTGACAGAGGTAAGTGCCAGAGACAATACAATCTACCATGGAAGTTCAAAGAAATGTTCTTCCAGTCTCAGAGCACAAGACACGGCTTCATAAAGGAAACAGGCCATAAAGCATTTCAGTAGGTGGCATGGGTCCAGGGAGTAGACAGAGGAAGGAATAGCTCACACCAATGCTTGGGAGCCGTGTGGCTCAGAAGACAGCTGAAGCATCAAGTTTCTCCACTTGTCAGCGTTTGCAAAATTTGACTTCTTTGAACCTCACTTTCTCACTGGGAAATTTGAGACAGCAGTAATTCCCACTGAATAGGGCTCTAATGTGTAGAAAATGAGATAGAATACATGATACATAGCTTTGTGAACTGGAAGGGGCTCCAGCACTGGTAGATCTTATTAGGCCTGAGTTGTGTTCTAAGAGTAGACAACTCTAGATACTTGTAAACAAGTGGCCAGAGATGAAGCTGGGACCTCTGGCAGGGGTGAGGTAGAGGTAGGGTGGAGGTCTCAGCTAGAAAGTAAGTTATTTGATGCCAAGAATGGGTTCATTTTCTCTTTCTTATGATACCATCCACACCTGCCCATCCCCAACTTCCATCCCATAGCACTCAGCATAGGGCCATCTCCATGAAACAATCAACAAACACAAGCTGACTGATGATTGAAGAAATTAAATATGAAATCATAACCTTTGACATATCTTCCTCTCTTTGGACCCCAGTCTTGATATTTATTATATGAATTTTGGACTGGGTTGGTGCAACTTTTTATAATTCAAGAATTTTATTATTTTTGCCACACTTAAAAAGATCATGGAAACCAGTGTAATTTTAACAGATAGTAAAACATTTCTCTTATTCTAGTCAAATTCAAATAAATTTGATACTCTAGTTAAGGCTGAGCAGCTTTGTATCCAGAATATGTCTGTATTCTTTTTAATTCTTTTAAATATCAGGAAGAGCTGGTATTTCTGTAAACCATCAGAGCACTGGAGTCTACTTAGGATCAAGTCCATTGAATGACCTCCAAGGTTCTATCCAGCTCCACTGTTGACAATTGGCCATTTAAATTTCTTAATCTCCAAAAAAAAGATTTCGAAAATTAACATCTGCATAGGAAAAACGTTTTCCTTTTCTTTTTTCCTTCTTCCAGGTCATCCTTCCTGAATTTGAGGATATACACTTACTGATCTGAAGGGCCAAAAGGCTGGGCCTGGGGGCAAGAATTATGCAAACAGGCCTGCCAGGCCCCACTGCACAACAGAGCCAGCAGGGGAGGAGAAGCAGCCCTGAGGGTCAGGCAGGTCTGGGTTCAAATTCCTCCTCCTCACGCACCAGCTGGGTGACCTTTGGTCAGTTTACTTAGCCTTCCTGATCCTTGACTACCTATCCCATCTGCTAAACAGTATCATAGTACCAACTTCCCCATGTGGCTACTTTGAGAATTAGAAATATACGTAAAATGCCAGGTACAGCACAACAGGGAAACTTCAAATCCCTATGCAGCCTGTCCACTTGGATCTAGCTGGGGACAAAACAGACCCAAAGAGGCTTCTCAGGGCCTGAGCTGGCACTGCCCCGGCCACACTGTCTGCTAAGAGGACATTAAAAAAAGTAAACTGTCTTTCTTTTCCTATCTCCAGGAGTTGCAAAGGAGTTCTGGCGTATCCCTTTCAGATTAAAAGTTTCTTGGATATTATAAAGTGCTCTATCCCCTCCCTGGCACCTCTGGGACCATTAGCATCTGACTGAACAAGTCACTAAACTAGTCTCTGAAGACCAGGGGCCTAGATCTGTAGCAGGAAAAGGCTTCTGGATACTCATATACCCAAATAATGTTGGGAAATGCACTGGCCACAGTAGCCAGTGCTCAGTAAAGCCACATGAGACAACTGAAGGATTCCCTGGAAATGGAAACATTGGTGTTGCCTATCCTCAATGTGCCAAATATCGTCTGAGCAGGAGATTGGAATGTAGATCCAGGGTAAGAAGCTCAGTCACGGCCAGCAGGCCCCTCATGCACAAGAGGTAAGGCAAAGGGGCTCAGGCAAGCCCGGGATACAGCAGACACAGCTTTGATCACTGCAGTGCCAGGCGCCGGCTGTTTGGTCACTATCTGTAAGATCATCTGGATAATATTTTTTCACGTTTTACCAATTCTAATAACAAAACTCTTTTACAATGATGCAATTTCAAATGGAAACACACAGTCATAGAGCAAAATGTTATTTTTTTAAAAAAATTTGTATAAAATGCTTTATTGGTTTCTTTAAAAACACAAAAACCATAAAGCATGGTACCTTCTACTTTAGAGCCTCTAATCTAATCAAGTTTCATTTGAAAACTGAGAAGACAAGATTAAGAGTTAAAGTGTCATGCCAAAAGCACGCACAACTAATAAAACATAAAACTCTGACAAACCTCACATTCATTCTCATGCCGTACTCCAAGGATCTTTGACAGCTTTTGATTTTTGACTTAAAAGAGGTGTTTTTCTCCTCTTTACCTAATTTTTAATCTGTCACTAGATGCTGTTATTCTGTACTTTGTGGTCCATTTTCATGGCCACCATGTTTCCTGGGCCCCCATTAAGGCATTAGTTTTTAAAAGTCTTTCTCCACCTAGAGTTCTGAGATATATTTCCAACCTAATATTTTTCCTTTCAAAACTAGAGTTCTGAGATATATTTCCAACCTAATATTTTTTCCCTTCAAAACTAAATTTTGAGAAACATTGACTGGACACCCTCTCTGAGACCTTTCAGGCCTTCCTGGCATATGTGGTTCCAGAATAGAGAATAGTACCAACTTCCCCATGTGGCTACTTTGAGAATTAGAAATATACGTAAAATGCCAGGTACAGCACAACAGGGAAACTTCAAATCCCTATGCAGCCTGTCCACTTGGATCTAGCTGGGGACAAAACAGACCCAAAGAGGCTTCTCAGGGCCTGAGCTGGCACTGCCCCGGCCACACTGTCTGCTAAGAGGACATTAAAAAAAGTAAACTGTCTTTCTTTTCCTATCTCCAGGAGTTGCAAAGGAGTTCTGGCGTATCCCTTTCAGATTAAAAGTTTCTTGGATATTATAAAGTGCTCTATCCCCTCCCTGGCACCTCTGGGACCATTAGCATCTGACTGAACAAGTCACTAAACTAGTCTCTGAAGACCAGGGGCCTAGATCTGTAGCAGGAAAAGGCTTCTGGATACTCATATACCCAAATCATGTTGGGAAATGCAGTGGCCACAGTAGCCAGTGCTCAGTAAAGCCACATGAGACAACTGAAGGATTCCCTGGAAATGGAAACATTGGTGTTGCCTATCCTCAATGTGCCAAATATCGTCTGAGCAGGAGATTGGAATGTAGATCCAGGGTAAGAAGCTCAGTCACGGCCAGCAGGCCCCTCATGCACAAGAGGTAAGGCAAAGGGGCTCAGGCAAGCCCGGGATACAGCAGACACAGCTTTGATCACTGCAGTGCCAGGCGCCGGCTGTTTGGTCACTATCTGTAAGATCATCTGGATAATATTTTTTCATGTTTTACCAATTCTAATAACAAAACTCTTTTACAATGATGCAGTTTCAAATGGAAACACACAGTCATAGAGCAAAATGTTATTTTTTTAAAAAAATTTGTATAAAATGCTTTATTGGTTTCTTTAAAAACACAAAAACCATAAAGCATGGTACCTTCTACTTTAGAGCCTCTAATCTAATCAAGTTTCATTTGAAAACTGAGAAGACAAGATTAAGAGTTAAAGTGTCATGCCAAAAGCACGCACAACTAATAAAACATAAAACTCTGACAAACCTCACATTCATTCTCATGCCGTACTCCAAGGATCTTTGACAGCTTTTGATTTTTGACTTAAAAGAGGTGTTTTTCTCCTCTTTACCTAATTTTTAATCTGTCACTAGATGCTGTTATTCTGTACTTTGTGGTCCATTTTCATGGCCACCATGTTTCCTGGGCCCCCATTAAGGCATTAGTTTTTAAAAGTCTTTCTCCACCTAGAGTTCTGAGATATATTTCCAACCTAATATTTTTCCTTTCAAAACTAGAGTTCTGAGATATATTTCCAACCTAATATTTTTTCCCTTCAAAACTAAATTTTGAGAAACATTGACTGGACACCCTCTCTGAGACCTTTCAGGCCTTCCTGGCATATGTGGTTCCAGAATAGAGAGCTCCATCCCCTCATGTCAACACACTCACAGTAATCAACATGAAATGAAGCTGTTGTTCATTTTGACCTTTTTGACAACTGGATAAAGAAGTAATGTTTATTAATTCAGACGCAGTTCCTCTTCCGGACATTAAAGAAGCCAGACTAGTCTAGAAATGTATGCAAATTTGACTATAAAAAGAAAAAAATACAATTTTTCAATTTTTTTCTCTTCAATTCTATGGAAATCATTTCTTTTAAAACAGCATTAATCAGCCTCTGTAAGAAAGAGTACGGCATGGCTAGAAGTGGCTTCTGAAGGCCCTCAGCCGTGCCAGCTATTACCTCTGGTTGCAGGATCACAGGGAGGCCCCCAGGTCCTAGAGGAAGAACCCAGGCAGCCAGGAAGCAGTGGCGCTGGGAATTTGGAACAGCTACTGTTTACAGACCAATAAGGGTGCATTTCACTGTTTGAAACACTGGGATAGCTGTACCAGCCTGTACCACCCAAATGCCAGTCTATACAAGTCAGTATTAGAATAAAGAATATTTATAGAGGAAGGATGTTTGGAAAATACTTACAAATGTAGTAACTAGAATGTATAATTCCTGATACAGCATAGAAGTTTTATTTTCCAATGCAGCTGTGTATGATATTTTGACCTTAATAGTACCAGGGAATATCTTTCCTGAAATTCAAGCAGAATCTTTCTGTGATATTCAATGTAAAGAAGGTCTATTTTGCTTAAAGCATAGATTATTTTTTAATTCTAAACATATGACGATACTACAGTAATTCTGAAAATATGAAAAACATTACCCCAAACCCAACCTAACCTATCACAATTATTCTCATTTTGGTATATTTCTCCCAGCTCTTTTGTGTATGTGTGTTTGTGTCTAATTTATATCATTATAATTGCAAGTTTATATCATGAGTCCTCTTTACTTACTCTTAATAGTAAACATTTTTCCAAATCATTACTCAGTCTTCATAATTATCATCTTAAATGCTATATAATATTCTATGAAACACATCTTTCCTTCATTGATGCAGTCACTCTTTGTTTTCAATGCTTTTAATTATTCAAAAGGAAAAAAAATTTGCACAAACATCTCAATGCACAAAACTTTTCTATATTTGGGGTCATTTACTTAGAGTGGATCCCCGAAATGAGATTACTCATGCTAACAATAGGAACAGCCTTTGAAACAACATTTGGCCTTGGGGATATCTCTAATCCCTGTGCCAACACAATGCATTCATTTCCAGTGCAGTTGGCAAGAAGGGATATTTCTTTTTCATAAAACAGACAAAAACATATAGCTCAGGAAACAGCCTTGGACTTTTTTAGCACCCAGCTGATCTAACCAAAAAAGTGTAGCGTCAGTTTGCTGTTAAAGTCCATTTGCAGAGCTGAGAAGTTCTTAAGTCTCCAAAAATAAGATTTGGTGTTATGGTACAAGCAAATCCTATAACAAAAAAACTGAGCCAAAGTCAGAGACCAGGTTCCTGGCTTGTCTGACTCTGTCGTTATAGGAAATCACCTCATTTTGCATCAGTGTCCCCATGTAACAGCACTGCTGTGTATTTATGCAGTCTTTGTAGTTGTACACACCTACACCTATCATTTTACACACCTACCTTTCTACACCTATCATTTTCATTTTGACCCCATGGCACTGATCCTTCAGCCAGATTAAGTGAAGGGACCCATTCCCTCCCATACCTCTAGAACTAGTTCACATATCTGAGTTGGTCCATTTCCTCTCCCACTAAGTTCCACTGAGATAAAGACAGAAACTTTTTTTCTGCTTGGCTGGCCTTTGTTGCCTCCAAATTTTCCTCTTCGTTTAATATTCCAGAAGCTCTTTTTGTCATTATTTTAAGTTTTCTATTCCCTTTAGGCCTGAGATGCATATCTCCATTGTTCATCCTTTGTAACTCACCTTTATTGCATGTGGAAGAATTATAGTAATATCCCTCTGAACACAGGCAAACATAATCATCATGCAGATTAACACACAAAGAACCACCCTGACAGGAATCCTCTTTGCAAGGTGTGCTGTAACCTGAGATACAGTAGAAAGAGATTAAAAATCCACAAGTAACAATAAATAACACCTGGAAATATACTTTTAAATCTTCGTGTCTCCCTCCTGGGCACTTTCTATTACTTGGCCGTGTTACGCCATGGTATACCCTTAGAACAGCTAGAAACAAACAGATATTTTCTTATGTTTCTAGGAAGATTGTTGCTAAAATTCTAGAGCCAAGCACTTGTCAACAGTAAAGGTCAGAGGTTGGTGAGTAATAGTCTGCTCAGAAAGAGATTCCAGTGTTCTAATTCCAAGGAGTAAGGAAATACTTTGGATCTCACAGATCCTCCAGAACTTTGATGTCTGCTCCTCTAATACTAGGTGAGATGCTCCAAAACCATTTTAGAGAAAGCACCATATTTTTTTAGGAAGAGATTAATGACTGACTTATAGGGAAGACCAGGCAAAAAACTCCCCGCCCCCCAAAACTAGATATTATACTCTGGTTAGCATACATGGTATACAGACCTATGAGGAAAGGGAAGGGAACAAAGTGGATTAACTCAGTGAAAATTCTAAGAGGAAATAATGAAGGGCCATTCTACTTTCTGGCTTTCTGAGTGGATGACTGAATAAATGGTGAGAAGAATATTACTATGGTTTCTACATCACTGGCCAGGATTCCTAGACCAGACAGTGTGCAACATCTTTCCTATCTTTGGAAAACTGATGGGATCTGAGAAGAGAAATCACCAGTTAGCCAAATGGGGATTTTTGACTAGCCATTTCCCTCTGTCAAATGAAATGATTCTGAGCTTTGATTTCAGAATAGATTGAGTGACTGACAACCTTCAGAGTTGTCTTAAAATTCTTATGGTTCCATAGGTGGAAATAGTTGCTTAAAAAAAAAAAACTACATATAAGGTACAATGTATATAACATGGTCTCTTTTTTATTGAAGTATAGTTGATTTACAATATTAGTTTCAAGTGTACAGTATAGTGATTCAGTATTTTTGCAGATTATACTACATTAGAAATTATTATAAGACAATGGTTATAATTCTCTGTACTATATAATATATCCTTGTTGCTTATCTCTTTTATACATAGTAGTTTGTATCTGCTAATCTTATATTCCTAATTTGTCCCTCTCCTCTTTGGTTTTTACCAAAGTTTGTTTTCTCTATCTGTGAGGCTGGAAAGGAGGGAAATTTAGTTTTTACCGCATATACTTTTGCCCCATTTAAGCTCTTTTTCCCATAACTATGGGCCTAGTTCACCTTTATTAAAAAATATAATCATGCTAGTCAGGAATTCTCATATTGGTGGGAATATAAAGTATAGCCATTTCAGAAGACAGGTTGGCAGTTTCTTACAAAACTAAACTTAATCATATGACCCAGCAAGTGCAAGCCTTAGTATTTACCCAATATAAATGCTAAGTATTCACTTAGTATTTACCAACATTTTTCCACTCAAAACCCTGCAAATGAATACTTAGAGCAGTTTTATTCATAATTGCAAAAACTTGGAAGCAATCAAGATGCCCTTCAGTAGGTAAGTGAATAAACAAACTGGTACAGCCAGACAAGGAAATATTATTCATGTTCAGGCCTTGAAAATCAACATGGAGGAAACTTAAATGCATATTGCTAAATGAAAGCAGACTATCTGAAAAGGCTACATACTGTGTGATTCCAACAACATGACATTCTGAAAAAGGCAAAACTATGGCAACAAAAGATCAGCAGTTGCCAAGGGTTAGCAGGGAGGGAGGGGTGAATAGGCAGAGTACAGCAGATTGTTAGGAAGGTGAAAACAGTCTTTATGATGGATACATACCATTCTACATTTGTCCAAACCTATAGAATATACAACACCAACAGTAAAACCTCATGTAAACCGGACTTTGGGTGATTATGATGTGTCAGTGTAGATTCACCAGTCGTCACAAATGTACCCTCTGATGAGGAAAGTTGATAATAAGGGAGGCTGTGCAGGTATGGGGGCAGGGAAATATGGGAAATCTCTCTACATTTCTCTCAATTTTGCTGTGAATCTAAAACTTCTCTAAGAAATAAATTCTATCTAAAAAGAATATTTTTAAGAGTAAAAGAAAAAAAAGAGGCTACCTGGACACGGGAGGCATAGTGCAGTATCTCACAAACAACAATAAGGGTCAGCACTCTAACAGGGTGTTAACCAATATTCTAAGTAAAGTAAATGGCTTTTTAACAAAGCCTTAACCACACTGCAAGGAAGGTTTGGAAAATCCTAGGGAAGAAATCAAGTGCAGAGCCATTTTGGATATACCGGTCAGATAACTCCTGGTGTGGCTTTCTCCTTGGCGATAAAGGACAGACTCGGTATTTCTGTGTGCCAGGAATAAAGTCACAGGATGTTACAGTGGGAAAAGGATTTTGTGGCTATTTAGTTCAATCATCTCTTATTACAGGTGAGTATGTTGAAGCCAAAAGAGAATTGGTTTGGCCCATGCCCCACAGTTAGTGTAGGGCCAGAACACAAGAAGGCTGCCTTACTCTGACAGAGGGTCTAGGGGAGCAGAAATGGCATAGAAAAGCTCTCTTTCCTGACTACAGGGGAACCGATTGTGTAGCTGTGTCCCTCCTTACCTAGCTTTCACAGTGGCCCCTCCAAACATGAAAGAAGATTGGGAAGCAGGTTTCAGTGCAGCCTCTGGCTCCATTTCCTTAATCATTCATTTCTTAGATCTACCAAAAAGTACTGAGGAAGCCAAAAGAAGAATGTATAGGAAGACATCAACTTGCTTTTTGACCCTGGGCAAGTGGCTGCCCTCACTGAGCCTCAGTCTCCCTAACTGAGAATAATAGGGTTTATCTAGATCCTTTAAACATAGGTGTGAGGACTCTTTTAGACCAGGGGTTGGAAAACTATGACTCATAAGCCAATTCTTGCCAGTCTTCCTCTGTTTTTGTAAACTAAGTTTTATCAGTACACAATCAGCACATTCGTGTGTATATTGTATATTGGCTGCTTTGATGTTGATATGGCTGAGTGGGGTAGTTGTAACAGAGATCTTATTATGGCCCACAAAACCTAAAATATTTATTAGTTTGCCTTCACTGATAAAGTTTACTGACCTCCATTCTATACCAAACTTTGGGAAATGAAGCGAGTGTTTCCTGTTTCAATAACTTAGGCCGAAGGTCAATCATCATCTCTTAGACAGTATCCCTAAACACCTGTCCTTTGGACCATAGCCCTGGTAATGTCACATGTTTTCAATAACATTTGATGAAGAATCAGGGTAGAACTGACTCCTTTCTTCAGTAGACCAAGGTTCTAGTAGTGGGACTAGAGATCTCATCAGTGCTTATTAGCATCTGACCTCAGAGAAACAGAAACTATAACCAAAAATCTCCTAAGAAAAGGGAAGCTACAAAAGCAGCTTTCACAAAGTCCAAGTTTATAAAAATATTCCACATCTGGCAAATAGCTTGAGGAAAGAATAGAATGGAACTGCAGGTAATCTTTTAGCATCTCTGCCATCACTATTAGCCTGTGTGACCCAGACTTTTTAATTCCAGGGTTTTATATCCAAGGACACCTTGGGTTTCTTTATACACACTTCCCTTCTCTGGAAGAACACACATACATACCATCCTTCACAATGCTGTGACTCCTTAGTGAGGAGCTTCGAGGGACTTGCTCTTACCTGTAGTATGTATGGTAGCAGTAGATGTTTTTGAGGGGGTAGCAGGAATTGTACTACTTGTGGGAGAAGTAGAGGTACTTGTAGCAGTGTTAGGAGTTGTACTCTCCGTGGTAGCAGTAGATGTACTTATGACAGTAGAGGTTGTAGTACCTGTGGTAGTTGTACTTGTGGTGGTAGGAGTTATAGTAGATGTGGTAGAAGTAGGTGTACTTGTGACGGTAGTTGTAGTACTTGTGACAGTCGGGGTTGTAATAGTTGTGGTAGAAGTAGGTGTACTTGTGACAGTCGGGGTTGTAGCAGGTGTGTTAGATGTACTTGTGATGGTAGGAGTTGTAATAGCCTCTGGGGCTGCAGCGTCAAGTTGGCTCATGGCTGGAAGAATAAAGATACCAAGTTTCAGAAGACAAAACACTGAACATATAATGCAGTTGCTATTATTTAATATTAATTAGTACCTAATCCATTTTTCCTGAAAAAATAAATGTAGTGGACTATATTAAAAATAAAAATACATGACTACTAAAAAAACTGACACAAATTAAAAATTAAATGGGCAAAACTGGAAAAATGTCACTAGGGAGTTCTCTGGTGGTCTAGTGGTTAGGATTCTGGGCTTTCACTGCTGTGGCCCGGGTTCCATTTCTCATCAGGGAACTGAGATCCTACAAGCTGTGCATCGTGGCAAAAAAAAAAAGGTACTGAAAAGTACGACAATGGCAGTTGGCCTGTTAGCTGGTTAGAAAAATACGAAGTAAATATTATTTATTGTATTGTTATTAATTATAATTAATATAATTTGAAATATTAATTATATATTAATATCAACATATCCTATTATTATGAGATGTAATATCATTTATATCTGTAGTTGCAGAACTGTCAATCTGAGTTTACTATTCCTGAATAGTTCTCAGTGAGGACAATTGAGAACGCCACTAGGGGACACTGTTTACCACCTGTAAGTGACTTATTTTGTCCTTAGAGTTCATGGCAATTATCCCTATTTTCAATTACAGGACATACTAGCTGAGGGATGGTAGAGAAGGGGGTATGTTTCAAGAATGATGAAAAATACCCCATTAAGGTATTTAATGTATCAAACTTCTTTTAAGATGTTTTCTAGTGATGTGTACCCAATTCTTAGTTCTAGATACAGAAACTTTTTAAAGAGTAAGATGAATAGAGATGATCTTTGCCCTAAGGACTATGGTAATCATCAAAGTCACCTTTTTTCCACTCTTAGGAATCCCTGGACACAAGAAGTAGTAAACTCTTAGTGATCCCATAATCACTTTTCTAGAACCCTTAATTGTCTCCAAGAGCTCTGAGAATGATGGCCAGTTTAAAAGAAATAATTAAAAGAAAAGTTTTGGTGAGGAAGCTATTCCTAAACCTTCCGATATAAAAAACTGCTGAAGATGCTACCAGATTTCCCCTTGGGTCTGGACACCCCTGGATGGTAGAATCTGGCTCTTCACCTTGAAAAGGGCCTGGTTTAACTAGTCAATGGTGAGAGTTCTCCCAGGAACAAGAGAATAGTTGACCAGCTGGCCATTTTGACTGCTGCTACCCTGCTCCTGCTGCTATTCTCACTTATCAAGGGCTTACCTTGTGCCCAACAATGCCTGTGGAACAGATATAAGCATCAACATTTGACAGAAATGCCACCAATACTCAGAGGATTAAGGGATTTGCCCAGAGGTAAACACTAATTCCCATGTATAAGGGGCAGAAAACTCTTGATGCCACATTCAGGGATTAAACCAGATCCATGCTCTGCAATATGACCCAAATGACATTTGGGGGTTAAAGAGAAGGAGATTCTAGGGCACTAAGCCCTTGGAACTACTAAATTGCTTTTGTCTGGCCTCAGGACTTTGAAGGGCAACTCTCTGGCTCTCTGAACCCCAAATCCAGGTCCAGAAATTTCTTTTCACTACTGTTCTATCTGCCTTCAACACAGACTGAAATGCCTTGTGCCTTTGAGCCCCTAGGAAACTTCATACACAACACAGTCCACCTAATGGGGCCGTGGGAATTAGTAGCTTAAGCCTGCTAATTCTATCTCAGAGACAACAAACATGATTAAAGGAATGAAAAAACTTTAAGTGTTCCTTACCTAAGCCTGGACAAATGAGGGCAAGAAGAGCGAGGTGAGCGAAGGCTTTCATTTTGGATGTTCTCGCTAGGTAATCCAGGAAGGAAATGATTTGCCTCCAGCTATCTTTCTTTTAAACTCTCTCTTGGGTCCAAAGTCCAGTCATCAACTGACGTCAAATCCAACAGAGGCAATTACTAGTTAGGGTTTGGTCATATAACATAGGTCTCTCTCGAGCTTTTGAGATCAAAGAGGTGAACCAGACTTTACGGATTATTTTTTCTGTCTCATAGTCCAAAATAACTCAGGACAGTCCATCCAAACATCCTTGGGAGATTATGGGGTGGAGGGGGGAATGTTAATGTCTTTATATCCCAAACATTCCCAAGTTATCACATTTTAGGAGGTCACCATTCCTCTAAACACCCAGTAATAGAGTCTGGGCCCTTCGTGCTGCATTGGAGTGCAGGAAATCCAGTTTCCTCCAGCTGTAGTTCTGAGAATCCCTGAGGTGTCCTTATGTGTTTCCCCAGACTGTTTGTTGCTGAGCTTTTATCACCTTTTGCTGTGGATCACTACTGTGGGTCTCTTTGATGACCACTTCCAACAACCGTGTGTTCATGTCTCCAAGTTTCCCTGGCTCCCCACATATCACTGTAACTGGACATGGCCCCCCACTAATGTTCTCAAAAGCAGTTAATATAATGTTGTAGCATTTAACTTTACTGAGAGCTTGTGGGTGACAGGTCAAGGAGGGAAAGAAAGAGAATAACTCAAAAAAGATTACTTGATATTGTGACTCCTGCTTGTTCACAAGCCACGTCCCCCCTCAAAGTTCCCCTACTCACCTCTTGTTCCTTATCCCCTGACCACTCACTTTCAAGAACCAGTTTATCTCTTGGATGAGAGTCTTTTTTTATTTTAACTTTGCTAACTCTTTAAAAATATAAATATACATGTACATATATATGTATATATATATTTGGCTGTGCCAGGTCTTAGTTGTGACACATGGGATGTGGCATATGGGATCTTTAGCTGTGAGTTTCAAACTCAGTTGCGGCATGTGGGATCTAGTTTCCTGACCAGGGATCAAACCTGGGCCCCTTGCATTAGAAGCACAGAGTCTTAGCCACTGGACCACCAGGGAAGTTCTGGATGAGGGTTTTTTTAATCCAATCCTCCCTCTTTAAAAGTCCAGGACCCCAACTCCCTCTGCAATTTGGCCCCAGGCAGAGAAATGAAGCCAGTAACACCTCATGAATATTAGCCAGAATGTTAACTCTAACCTTAGTGAAAGCAAAAGAAAATTTTTTTTTTGAAAGCAAAAAATTTTTTTTTCCAACCCTTTTCTTTCTCTTCTTCTGGATTCTTATTACACAAACATTAGATCTTTTGTTATAGTTTATTTTTTTGTGTGTGTGCATCTTTTTTTTTCATTTATTTTTATAAGTTGGAGAATATATATATATATATATATACATTTGGCTGTGCTGGGTCTTAGTTGTGACACATGGGATGTGGCTTGTGGGATCATTAGTTGTGGGTTTCAAACTCAGTTGTGGCATGTGGGATCTAGTTCCCTGACCAGGGATCAAACCTGGGCCCCCTGCATTAGAAGCACAGAGTCTTAGCCACTGGACCACCAGGGAAGTCCTGGATGAGGGTCTTTTTAATTCAATCCTCCCTCTTTAAAAGTCCAGGATCCCAACTCCCTCTGCAATTTGGCCCCAGGCAGAGGAATGAAGCCAGTAACACCTCATGAATATTAGCCAGAATGTTAACTCTAATCTTAGTGAAAGCAAAAATTTTTATGCTATTACACAGCAGGTGAGTTTACTGTTGTCCCCAAAGTCTTCCTTCAGGAATAGGATTTGGGATTAACTCCTACATAGCTGAGAGGCCCATTTAAGTAATTTTTCTAAGCAAAGATTCCTCTCAGGCCCATTTGTTTTGTGTTATTCTCATCTTGAATGATTCCTGGAAGCAAGAGTTAAACAAAGGCATTTAAAAATTCTTTTTAAACTCACTTTATTGAGGTAGATATAATTTACTTCAATACATGAATCCATTTAAAGTATAAAATTCCATGAGCTTTGATAGATGTATATTCATGTGAAACCACTATTACAATCAAGATACAGAACGTTTCTATCACACCCAAAAGTTTCCTCTTGCCCTTTTGCAGTCTATTCTTTCCTTCACTCTCTAATCCAGGCAAGTACAGACCTACTTTCTGTCACTGGAGATTAGTTTGGTTTTTCTGAAATTGTATATAAACGGAGTCATATGACATGTACTATTTTAGTGTCCGGGTTCTCTCCCTCAGCACACTGTTTGTGAAATTCATCCATATTACTGTGCATCAGTTCTTCCTCCTTCCCTACTTCTTTTTGCTTTCTTTTACAATTTTATTGAGGTATACTTTATGTAAATGGAACATGTTAAAAGCTTTGACATGTGTGCATATATATGCTAACTTGTTTCACTCATGTCCAACTCTTAGCAACACTATGGACTGTAGCCCACCAGGCTCCTGTATTCATGGGATTCTCCAGGCAAGAACACTGGAGTGGGTTGCCATGACCTCCTCCAGGGGCTCTTTCCAACTCAGAGATTAAACTCATGTCTCTTATATATCCTGCACTGGCAGCCAGGTTCTTTACCACTAGAGCCACCTGGGAAGCCTTTTGACATGTATACACACCCATGAAACCATCAGCATAATCAAGACATCAAATGTTCTTATAATTCCCAAAAGTTTTCTTGTGTTCAACCTTTCCCATACCTACAATCTAACGTAACCACTGATCTGCTTTCTGTCACTACAGGTTAATTTGTATTTTCTAGAATTTTATACAAATGGAGTCATACAGATGTACTGGGTTTGTTGCTGTTGTTCAGTCGCTAAGTTGTGTCCAACTCTTTGTGACCCCCCTGGACTGCAGCATGCACCAGGCTCCCCTGTCCCTCACTACCTCCTGGAGTTTGCTCAAATTGATGTCCATTGAGTCACTGATGCCATCTAACCATCTCATCCTCTGTTGCCCCCTTCTCCTTTTGCCATCAATCTTTCCCAGCACCAGGGTCTTTTCCAATGAGTCAGCTCTTTGCACCAGGAGGCCAAAATATTGGAGCCAAAGTATTGGGTTTGGGAGGGGTTTATTTTTTTATCTAGCTTCTTTGACTCAGCATGGTTATTTTGTTTCATCCAT